TAACCTGCCAATCCAAAGAAACTCTGAATCTCTGTAGCTGATGCTGGTCTAGGCCAGTTCTTGACTACCTCAATCTTCTTCAGATCAACCTGAATACCCTCTGTTGATACAACATGACCCAGGAATGCAACTGAACTCAACCAGAACTCACATTCTGAGAACTTAGCATATAACTGACTATCCCTCAAGGTCTGAAGAACCACTCTAAGATGTTGCTCGTGCTCCTCCCGACTACGGGAATATATCAAAAAATCACCAATGAAGACTATCACGAACGAATCCACATAAGGCCTGAACACTCGGTTCATCAAATCCATAAAAGCTGTTGGGGCATTCGTCAACCCAAATGACATCACCAAGAACTCATAATGCCCGTACCGAGTGCAGAAAGCTGTCTTAGGGACATCAGATGCCCTAATCCTCAATTGATGGTAGCCATATCTCAAGTCAATCTTCGAAAATACCTTGGCACCCTAAAGCTGATCAAACAAATCATCAATCCTCGGCAATGGATACTTATTCTTGATTGTAACCTTGTTTAACTGCCGGTAATCAATACACATTCTCATCGATCCGTTCTTCTTCTTAACAAACAACATCGGCATACCCCAAGGCGAAACACCCGGCCTAATGAAACCCTTCTCAAGCAAGTCTTGCAACTGCTCCTTCAATTCTTTCAACTCCGGCGGGGCATGCGATATAGTGGGATAGAAATGGGCTGAGTGCCCGGAGCCAAATCAATGCAAAAGTCAATGTCCCTGTCGGGTGGCATACCCGGCAGGTCTGAAAGGAAAATCTCAAGAAACTTACGAACAACGGGCACAGAATCAATAGAAGGGACCTCAGCACTAAAATCACGAACATATGCTAAATAGGCCAAACACCCCTTCTCGACCATACGCCGAGCCTTCACATAAGAGAGAACACTACGGGTGGAATGACCATGAGTCCCTCTCCACTCTAAATGACGCATAACCGGCAAAGCTAAGGTCACAGTCTTGGCATGACAGTCCAAGATAGCATGGTAAGGTGATGACCAGTCCATCCCTAAGATGACATCAAAATCGACCATGTCCAAAAGAAGAAAATCTACACGAGTCTCAAGACCTCCAATCACCACTATACACGAACGATGGACTCGATCTACCATAATAGAATCACCCACTGGTGTAGACACATAAACAGGAGCACTCAAAGAATCACTAGGCATGACCAGATACGGTACAAAATAAGATGACATACGAATATGTACACCTGGATCAAATAACACTGAAGCATCTCTATCATAAACCAGAACCGTACCTATAATAACTGTATCTGAAGCCTCATCCTCGGGCCTAGATGGAAGGGCATAACATCGGGGCTGGGCCCCACCACCCTAAACTACATCTCTAGGATGGCGTGCTGCTGGCTGGCCTCCACCTCTAGCAGCTTGAGCTCCACCTCTAGTGCCTCTACCTCCTCCTTTAGCCCCTCTACCCCCACCTCTAGCTGGCTGGGCGAGCTGTGGAACACCTGGTGCCTGTACCATGGCACGAGAACCCTGATGCTGAGAGCTACTCAGTGCTCGAGGGCAAAACCTAGCAACGTGACCCATATCACCACAAGTGTAGCAAGCCCTCGGTTGCTGAGACTGCTGGCCCTGACGACCTGAATGACCACCCCGAAAACTTTGAAGTGACGGTGCACTGATAGGAGCTGGTGGTGCACTGTAGGACTGCTGATTAGAATACTGCATCTGAGGACCACGACAACCTGAAGCACCGTGAGAAACCTAAAATGCTGACTGAAAAGGCCTAGGAGGATGGCCTCTACCATATGAATCTCTACCTTCGGACTAGGTACCACTGAATTTGCCTGAATGACAGGGCCTCTTGTTCGACCCATGACCACCTCCCTATGATAGAACCATCTCAACTCTACGGGCCACATTGGCCGTCTCCTGAAAAGTAATCTCACTCCCAACCTCCCTAGCCATCTGAAGACGAATCGACTGAATAAGTCCATCAATAAACCTCATCACCCTCTCTCTCGGTGGGAAGTATGATAAGAGCATGATGAGCCAAGTTGATGAATCTGGTCTCATACTGGGTAACAGTCATAGAACCCTGCTGGAGGCGCTCAAACTGCCTCAGATAGGCCTCTGTCTGAGTAATGGGGAGAACTTCTCCAGAAATAGCTGCATAAACTGCTCCCAAGTCAAGGCTGGCGATCCGGCTAGTCTAGTAATAATCTCTCCACTAAGTCTTGGCGGATCCAAATAAGCAAAAAGTAGCAAAATCAACCCCATTGATCTCAACTATCCCCATATACCTAAGAACCTCGTGACAGCTGTCTAGATAATCTTGGGGATCCTCAGTAGATGCACCGCTGAAAGTAGTAGTAAAGAGCTTGGTGAACCTATCCAACCTCCACAAAGCATCGGCAGACATAACTGCTCCATCACCGGTCTGAGCTACCACACCCGGCTGAACTGCTCCAACTGGCTGAACCGTTGGAGTCTGAATCGGGGGAGCTACCTGCTCTGGAGTGCGAATAATAGGAGTCTGGGCTCCTCCTCCAGCCTGAGAGACGGCTGGTGCTACAGGAAGCAAGCCTGCTCGGGTGACACTCTCCATGAGGCCCACTAGATGGACCAGACCATCCTGAAGAACTAGGGTAGCAATAGACCCCTTTGGGACCTGAGCTGGGCCCACTAGAACTGCTGGGGCCGAAACCTCGTCATCAAAGTCAACCTGAGGCTCCGCCACTGGTGCTGGTGCTCGGGGCTGAGCTCTGCCCCTACTTCGGCCTCTAGCACGGCCTCGGCCTTGCCCTCTGCCCCTCGTGAGAGCTGCTGCTGGGGGCTCGGGCTGCTGGTCAGTAGATGAGGAAGTGCGTGTTCTCGCCATCTGCGAAAGAACAGAGTAGAAATTCAATTAGCATTGAGGAACCAAACCGCACGATAGGAAAGAATAAACGTGAAGTTCTTCCTAACTCTTTAGCCTCTGGGGATAAATACAGATGTCTTCGTACCGATCCCTCAGACTCTAGTAAGCTTGTCTGTAAACTGTGAGACTCATGTAACCTAGAGCTCTAATACCAACTCGTCACGACCCGAATTTTCCACCCTCGGGAGTCGTGATGGCGCCTACTAATGTGAGCTAGGCAAGCCAAACCCTTAACTACTTACTTCATTATTCAACTACTCCTTTTTAACAAATGTAAGGCAATAACAGGAAAACAGCGGAACTTTAAAAAATTAAGCGGAAGATAACAATTAAATTTCTAAAATCTACGTCTATTACAATTACTTAAGTTTCAACCACCCAAAACCTGGTATCCCAGTGTCACACACAGTCTAAGATTTACTACATACAAAGTCTGAAGAAATAATAATACACTGTTTCTGAATAAAAGGAAAATGAAATAGGAAATAGGGATAGAGGGAGACGCTAGGGCCTGCGGACGCCTGCAGGTCTACCTTGGATCTTCACGTGGACTGAAGGTAGCCTCCATACTACGGTTCGAAAGCGGCTCCGGGATCTGCACAAAGTGCACAGTGTAGTATCAGCATAACCGACCCCATGTGCTGGTAAGTGTCTAGCCTAACCTCGGGGAAGTAGTGACGAGGCTAGGACCAGACTACCAAATAAACCTGTGCAGTTCAAATATATACAGCGGAAAAGAAATACAGAAATAACCAGTCAATACGGGAGGGGGAGCATGCTGTGGGGGAGATAACGGTTCTGAATAAAAAGGCATCAAGTAAGGAAAGAATCAACATAAATTCCTATCAACAAAGAATCAGAAATCAACAAATGCACGGCATCACCCTTCGTGCTTTTACTTTCGTCCTCACCAAAGCAGTTATATAATAAAAGTGAGCACGACATCATCCTTCGTGCTTTTACTCTCTTTCCTCACCATATAATCAATAAAATCAGCATGGAATGGTACATCGTGAGGCACGATATCACCCTTCGTGCTTTACACTCTTTCCTCACAATAATACACGGCATCACCCTTTGTTCTTTACACTCTTTCCTCACAAAACAAACAATACACGGCATCACCCTCCGTGCTTTAACAACAGCGCCCCTGTGCGGACGACACAAAGTCGACTGCGGCTGTACAACCCTCCACCGCACACCGCACAAGGTCGACCGCGGACCGCACTGGCGGGTTCAGAGACCTGCAACTTCTGGTTTTAAGCCTAAAACACCTGGAACCTACCCGAAACTCACCCGAGCCCTCAGAACTCCAAACCAAGTGTGCATACTAACTCAAAAACATCATATGGACCTACTTGTGCGATCACATCATTAAAATAACATGAAAAATCATGAATTAAACCTCAAAACTCAACATTTTCATCAAGAACTCTCAAAGTTCACAACTCTTCAACCGGAAGTACAACTCACGTCAAATAAACTCAGTTTTTTCACCAAATTTCACAGTTATCTTTTGAATACTATAACAAGTGTGTACCGGGCTCCGGAACCAAAATACGGGCCCGATAACAATGGTTTCAAACATTAATTCTTTTCTTCATTTCTTAGATAATTCAGTAAAATAATTTCTTTCAAAAATTAATTTCTAAGACTTGGGACCTCGAAATTCATGTCCGGGCATACGCCCAAGTCCCATATTTTACTGCGGACCTCTCGGGATCATCAGAATACGGATCCGGGTTCGTTTGCTCAAAATGTTGACCAAAATCAACCATAATTAAATTTTTAATTCTAAAGATTTCTATTTCTCATATTTTCACATAGAAGGCTTTTCGGATATAGGTCCGGACCACACACATAAATCAAGGTGGGATAATAAAGAGGCTTTTAGACCTCGGAACACTGAATTCACTTGCAACACAAGTGATGACCTTTTGGGTCATCACACAAAATTATATACATTTCCATGCAGTAGGAACCTAATTCTCTAAAATTTTATATAGAGATATTTATATCAATTAACTATCAATATTAAAGCAACCAATAATGCTTGACAAACACCAAATAAATTTCTTAAGCCGAATATTATAAATATTATCATTATTAAAAAGTCAATTACATATATACTACCCGACACTTCATTGTGCATTGTAATTGTACGCATATACATATCCCAAAAACGACAAAATATTAAGTGCCTTGTAACTGCTCCTTGCCCGACACCATCCTTGAACGATACCACTATTTAAGTGACTTGTCCCTGCTAGACAAACAGAATGTTGAAAGTATAGAATTAGAGAAGTGATAGTTATAACAGTAGTGTATGTATATGTATATGTGTGTGTATATATATATATATATATTGTAGCACATGTGATTTGACAAAGTAGATTTGCTCTCTTCTTGCTATATATAAAGGTCATATATGAAGGAAACAATCACAATAGCTTTCTTTTGATCTTTCCTGTCTTTCTATTCTTTGCCCTTTCAAGAAACTTTACATAGAAATCATGCATCAAAATATGATTGAAACTTCTTCAATTTACAGATAACTAGAAACATATAAGATTGATAGAGATAGTTAGATGGGCATTGCATGAAATAGAGAAATAAATACCGCAAGAACAGTGTTGCAGAAGATGCATCGGACATAACAAAGATGTTCAGAAGATTGAACCAAATCCATGGAGTTTCTAAACCTCCAACAAAATGGGAAGTGTTCGCGAAGAAGAAAGGTATACAAAAGCGTAAGAAAGACAAGGTTGTTTTTGATGAACAAACTGGTTCATGGAAGCGCAGACATGGCTATGATCGTGTAAATGATGACAAAGATGTGCCAATTATTGAAGCCAAGGAAACTGATGAGCCCGTTCAAGATCCTTTTGCTAAGAGACAAGAAGAAAAGAAGAAGAGAGTAGAAAAACAAGAGAAAAATCGATTAAGTAACTTGAAGGAAGCTGCAAAAGCTGCTGCCTTGCCAAGTCATATTCAGCTTGCTGCCACGACACAGCCTATAATAGGAACACAAGCTGCACCGAGGAAAATTAGCAAGGATGAACTCGGCAATGTTGCTGGAATGGCCGCAAATGCAACAACTAGTGGTGGAAAATTAGACAAACAGAATGTTGAAAATTTAATAATAGCTAGCTAGATTCTATTCTTCTACAGCTCTTGAATTTTCGAAAAAAATACACTTGTCAAGCAACCCAATATTGGACAAATCTTCATCTCTTTCTTGATCATAATCAATGGAGATATCAAATCCAAAGAAACACAAGTTCAGAAGAAATAACAAAAGATGCAAACCACCAGTTATTATCCACACACAGTTCGGAAGAAAAAATCAGTTAATATCAGAAAGTCACAAGTTCAGTGCCAACATAAGTATAGCAGATTAACCACCAGGCAAACCTCTAATTACAAGAATGCCAGAAATCGTTCGAGTCAGTTGCACATGGTAATAAGAAACTACATGTACTGAGATTTGTCTTAAAACTCTTATACTTAAGCAAATAGAACCAAAATCGATGTCAGTTGCATAATAGGAATATGACCAAAGATGCAAAACATGAAAGTGCATAATGAGAGATCGTCTGGCATCTGGACCACTAATCTAGGACTGCATTGAGAAGTAGAGAACTGGTATTCAAGGCTTTCAAGCGTCCTTGTCTACCTTCTCAGCAAATCAAAGCTTATAAAGCCATATGTGACAGCATAATTAGTTAAACTAAAATGTATATTTAGATAAAAGTTTATATTATACAAAGGCCAAATATAGAGACACATGATTTTATTGTAAAGCAAAGTAATAATATTACGGTGAAAATTAATTGCCTAGAACTTTGCGCTTCCTTCCTCCTCCTATTCTAAACAAAAGAGTTAAATTATTTTTGTTTTCCTTCATGTATCATTAAAAAATTTACGAGCAACAAAATTAAGTGAACAAGGTTCTACATCATTCGACATGCATCTATTTTGGTGTACCCTAAGCCGAGGTCACAAAGAATTTTCTTTGCTTCATAGAAAGAATTAGGCACAAATGACCCCTCGGGAAGAACTTCTTTGAAGAAGCTCAATAATGCATCTATCGATTTGTTGCTCCAATGGCTAAGACACTTCAAGTGAAGTAGTTTAACAACAAAAGACAACTTCGAAACTTTTTTACAACCAGGATAAAGTTCTATCTCAGCATCTTCTAACAATTTGTAGAACTTTGTTGCATGTACATTTGGCTCTTCATTGTCCTCTGAATTATTATTATTATCCTCCACATTCGTATATCCACAAGCATCGTGAATCATTTTAGTAATATTATCCTCTTCAATGCTATCATCTTCCGCTTCATCACTAACTGCAGTATTAGAAGTTTCAACTCTAACTAACACTTCTCCATGCAAGTCTCACACTTTATAAGAATCCCAAAAACCCTTCTTCAATAAATCTCCTCTTACACCAACCCTTAGCTTGAACACGGTATTCATACACCCTTTACAAGGACACCGAATCATAGAGTTCACCGTTAGTTGACTGAATGCCCAATTAAGAAAGTTGTCTACTCCATCTCTATATCTTTGGTCGACTCTATTCATAATATTCAACCAACTTTTATCCATCATATCTATATTAAAAAAATAAATAAATTAATTTACTAATTAAAAGGGGAAGGATTATAATAATCAAAATATATATAATAATTAACATATACCAGGGGTATTCAGACAAGCAGTCACAAAAATACATTATTCAAACAAGAAGGAAGTAGTCTATTCCAGAATTACTTATACGAATTGTGTGCAATGAAGAACAAGTTCAAACCAGGGTACGTACCACTCTATGAAACTACAAAAATACATGACCTTACTAATGTGTTGATTAAGTTTCTGCCAGGTAATATGCAAGATTGACAACTTCAACAAACAATATTCAGAAATCATATAAGAAAATTTCTTTCGCTGGACGAGATCAGAAGATAGTTAAACGGGCAGAGAAATTACGAGGAAAAAGCATTTCTGGTGATCTTCTGCTTCTTTGATCACTGTCAAGTCTTTAGGGAATTAATAATATTCAATCAGATTCATACTATTCCTTTAAATCTCGAACACAACAAGGAAGCAGCACGCTATGGGGTACAAACTGAACACGACAAGGAAGAAGCACGCGATGGGTTACAAATTCAAGAAAAAGGCAACAACAACAAAATTAACAACTAAAATCATTAAAACTACAAATCCAACCAATGTATATCATTCAAACAAAGGCCAGACAAATTAAATACATTGTACCTGCTTGAACCATACAAATTGCTTACCTGAACAACTAGAAATAAGCTGCCTCCCTGATCCTTATGCCACAAGTGGAGTCTTGTAAAATTACAGGGCTTATGCAGAGAAATATCAAACTCAGTCGGAACCTAGTCACTGCACTGTGAGACAGACAGTGATTTTTGACTTGAACACATTCTTGCAAGGCATAAGCACAGTAAGATACAATATTAAGGAAGCAGATGACATCAAATAGGAAAATGATAATTTGAAATTTATCTAGTCTCATTAACAAATCTGTATGATGATATTTTGAGATTAAACGAACTTAAAGCAAGTACATTTTCTCAAATCAAGCACTAAATATAACTTTCCTATTCCATCAAACAATTTAGCACTACAAAAGGTTAGTCATAGTTGCAAGAGGAACTTAATGCATTCTCTCACCCCCTCCACCCCCTTGCCCTTGCCCTTGCCCACAATCTCGTCTTATGTTTGCCTTCTGTCTGTACGCCAACAGCTTAGGAGCTGAGCTGCAGATTCGCTACATGTAGTCCAATTGGTCAATATTCAATCAGATTCATACTATTTCTTTACATCTCGAACACAACAAAGAAGAAGCACGCTATGGGGTACAAACTGAACTAGTTTAAAATACGACCCGACTAAAGCTTAGCAAGGAGTTGTACAGTTCTAAATGCCGAGTCTAAAAGATTAGGGATTTTAACATACCTGAGTTGTTAAAGTCTAAAAGATTAGGGATTTTAACATACCTGAGTTGTTAAAATTTCACTTCTATATTTTCTTGCCCTTTGCTGACTTCCGCAGCAGTGTAGAAGTTCATGAATACTTGAAGTTGAAGAATCTTTGAATCGAAAGACCCTAGTGGTCTTCTTCTTCGCACACTCGATTCACAAATTCAAACCAAAACTCATCAAACCAGCTTCCAATCTTGAGATTTAGCTTCAAAATGAAGTTTCCGGCAAGTATCATAAACACCCAATCGAATTCACATTCTGATTTGAAGGATTTTGATTTGGGTGGGATTTTTGAGGGACTTCGATTTGGGATTTCTATTATCTGGACAGATTTCTAGCTAGAGAGGACCGATTTTGGGTTTCAGTTTGGGATTTCTAGCTATAGAGGACCAATTTTGGGCGCTTCTCTGTTCTTCACATCGAGTCGATGTGTTCGAGATGAGAGTTTCGCTACTTCTGTCTCTGGACCGATTTTAGTGTTTCATCTATTGAGTATTTTCTTTTGTTATTTTAAAAGGGAATAGGAGCGACCAAGTCGCTGCAATTCATATTTAGTGGCAACTTCACAAGAATCGCCACAATAAATATAGAGCCAAAATTTTAGGTTTAGCGGGAGTGAAAATTTCAGCCACTTTAGAGGCGACCCATAAATAGTCGCTGCTAAATATATTCAAACTGTGGCGACTTTTAAAGTCGTTGCTGATAATATACATTTTGTAGCAACTTATAGGGTTGCTGCTAAATGTTGCCACTAATTATCCAATTTCTTGTAGTGTATATTGAAATACATTGAAATATATTAATAGAAAATTCAAGTTGCTCAGCCCCAAACTTCGGTGTCTTCATTCAAGAACAACCCTCTCGTCGAGAGGGCCGTGATTCTGACTCGAAACGCCACTATTCCTGTTACCATAATACCCTCACGTGCGCTTCAAAAAACCTGTTCTTTATAATTGAAGCCGCCGGAGCCACCGTCAGCATCCACAGTCTCGACGGCGGCGGTGAGGTTGAAGCAGCATCAGTATCAACGACGACTTTGACTTTGTTTCTCCATCTTTGTATTTTCACTTGTGTCGATGCTCTATTTTCTTTCGTTCCCTTTTCTTGGGGTGGCGACTGGAGGTTGTTAATGGAGTGGGCTGCTATCAACTTTCTTTTTCTAATTCAAGGATGATGATCCTCTCTTAGGAAGGTGGGCGGATGATCAGGTTTGTGAGGGGTAGAGTACTGGGCGTTCTTGGAGAAGGGGATTGGGAAGGACGACTGTTGCTCTATCAAGAAGGAGGAGATCTATCCTACATTGAAGAGAATGAGAACGAGATGGGGCTACTGGTGGGTGAGAGATTGGGGGTGGGCAGCTTTTTTAGGGGTCATCGGCGGAAGCTTTTGGTTAGGGATAGGAGAAATTTGGGCAGAGAGAGAAAAATAATACAAAGCTTATCTTATTGCTTAAGGGTAGGAGGTAGCCATAAATAGATATTTGGCTATAAAAAATCAAAAAGTATCTATGAAATATAATTTTTTAAAAGAATATTTATTTAAAATAAATAAGGTATCAACCTTTGTTATAGGAGGTAACTAATCCTATAATATATTATGTACGAGGAATTCGAATAATACAAGTTTTAAAATAATCATTCCACTAATACAAACTGAAATTAAGCATGTCAACCTAGTTTTAGCTTTGTAAAAGTTATCGAACTAGACATGAAACATGATCAGGCTACTGACGCGGACAAAATACTGTGGAACAAATTGAATTAACTGTATTATCTTAAAACACATTAACAATTATACAATTACATTAGAGAATTTACCACAGCAACAATAACAACGACCCAGTATAATCCCACAAGTGGGGTCTGGGGAGGGTAATATGTACGCAGACCTTACCCCTACCCGGAAGGGTAGAGAGGCTGTTTCCAGGAGACCCTCGGCTAACAAAAAAAGTAACAAGAGCCGATATATTAGCACCATAAAAATGCATAATAAAATAACAGCAATATAAGAGATATGAAATACAGAATA